CTCCCTCAGCAGCCATAAACTGCCTGCCACTAGCTCCTCAGCTAGGGTTGGGGCTTCATGGATTCCCACCTGTCCATACTGGAATGTTGCCTGGCTTGATCTTCTACAGGTTACCACAGCTGTTGTACGTTCATGAGTAGAGCAGCCACATCGTGTTGAAAATAGCATTTCTTAACTTTCGAGCTTTGTATTAGAATTAAGTCAGGAGTGGCAAAGAAAGAGATCACCACTCTAATTAAGTGTTTCAACAAAGCAAAATTTTACTCTTCATCAAGAAGGTGGACTGATAGCCAGGCAGTAGTGGTGCACACCTTTAATCCCCACTGAAGAGGCAGAAGCAGGTGGATCGAAGCCAGCCTGGTCTACAGAATGAGTTCCAGGACAGGACAAAGGTACACACAGAGAGAAACCCTGTCTCAAAAAACAAACAAACCAAAAGGGGGGGGGCACTGCTCATCAAAGCAGAAGAGCAGGAAGTGTGCTTGGTTCTTGTATTCTAACACAATTGGCAACTTTATCTTTTCTCCCATTACATTAACTGGGGTTCAACCTCACAGTCTTTCCAGATTGGCAAATATGGAATGGAAAAGGGTTTACTGATCCAAGGAGAAAGAAGTCATTGCTCTGAGGGGGTGGGGATCACTGAGCCAGGCTACTGGGTTCTTGGAATGAAACAGGAGCCCTGTGTACTGGGTGGGGAAGGATCAAAACATTTGCATGTAGGAGGGAAAGATGAGGAAAAAGTTATTATCTAATGTTTCTTACACTTGTGATACAGATGTCTCATTTAAGACTGAGTTTTTTCAGCACTTTGAGTCTCTGCATTAGCTGCCACCCACTATAAAAAGAAGCTTCTCTGACAGAGAGAACAGTTCTACTCTGTGGGTATGAGCATAAATATTTACCATTTAGCAAAACTGAAAGTAGTAGATTTCCCCCTAGGGCCTATATCCTACCCCAGCCAGGAGCTTTTGACTAGTTTTGGAGTACCATGTTAAAAAAAAATTAATCATTTTCTTAAAATGTTTTAGATATAACAAGATTAAAGAATAAAAGACATTAAATATATAACATTTAAGAAATAAAGCCAGGGATACATGCCTGCAACTCAGCATTTGGAAGGCTGCAGCAGGAAGATCAGGAGTTTGAAGCCAGTCCAACGAGATTCTATCTTAAAAATAAAACAAATAGCACCATCAACAACCCGAAAAAACTACAATAGAAATTCTTCTGTGCCTTTTTGTGAATTTTCGTTACCCCCATAGATGTGCCCATAAACACACTTTGTTGGGTATTATACTAATCTGCGTCTTTATCCCCGAGCATTGATCATTAAGGATTATATCATCATATAATGTCTTATCACATTTTAGGATTGTATTTTATTTATTTATTTATTTATTTTGGTTCCAGAACTTGTTCTGGAACTCGCTCTGTAGACCAAGCTGGCCTCGAAATCACAGAGATCCATTTGCCGCTGCCTCCTGAGTGCTGGGATTAAAGGCATGCACCACCACTGCCCTGCCAATTTTAGGATTTTATAGCCCTTTGTGCGGAAGTGCTAAAAGAATGAATCCAACAGCATACAAAATTAATTTAATATGGCCCATTAATGGAATAAAATACAGGAGCTGGGACATAGCTCACTTGGTAGAGGGAGTATGTGCAAAACCTAGGTTTAGTTGCCATCACTGTTTAACCAAGTATGATAGCACAGTCCTGTAATCCCAGTATTCAGAAAGTGGAGACAAGAAAGGTTAAGTCTAAGGTCATCCTTAGGTACAAATTGTGGCTAGCCTGAGCCATGTGAGATTATCTCAAAAAAAGAGAAAGAAGGGACTGGAGGGTGGCTCCGTGGTTAAGGGCACATGCTGCTCTTCTAGAGGTCCCAAATTCAGTTCCCAGCATCCACTTTGGGCACTTCACAACCCCCTGAAACTTGCTCTAGGTGATCCCATGCCCCCTTCAGGCCTCTGTGAGGACTACACAAATACATGTATATATACACCTTGAGACAAAGTTTCTTTATATGTATATACACATGTTGAGACAAGGTTTCTTTTTTCTGTGAAGTAGCCTTAAAGTTACAGAGATCTCCCTCTTTCTCTCTCCCAAGTACTGGGAAAGAAAAAAAATAGAGAAAAAGCTTATAGAAGTAGCATTTGACTAATTCTTTTTTTTTTAGACTTCTCTTTTTTGTATTTATTTTTGTTTTTACATCCAGACTATGGTTTCCCCTCCCTCCTCTCAGTCCCCCGCCCCCCAACATATCTGACTCCTTTAGTGCTGTTTTTGAAAGGTCTCCCCACCATATTTTCAGAGCTCCAGTTCCGTTGGCTCAGCCAGACACTTGGTACTGACTACTGTAGAGCTGTGGACACACACTGTTTCCTTGGGCCTCCATGGCCAGCCTAGGAAGGAGGGTGGTCCTGAGTACTGAAGCGCCCACATTCCCACTGGGGTGGCAGCATCAGGCAAAGTAGGCATAGAAGAAGATGTTGACACAATTAAGGAAGATGACGTTGAAATTGCACACATGGGTCCAGAAGGCGCGTTTCTGGGGTGTCAGGCCATCGCCTGCTTTGGTTCCTAAGGACGGGTCCAGAACCAGAGTCCACCAGGTTAGGTTTTCTATCTGCAGGGAAGAGGTGTGGCAAGACAGAGTGGTCCAGAAAGCAGCAGATCAGTTACAGAAAGAAGCTTCAAACAAAGACAGAGGTCTGGGCCAGGAAGGGTAAGGAGTCAAAGGTGGGAATGTCTGGAATCAGAGAGGGGCACAGAGACACGATTCCATCAGTCAGGTCAGGAATCGCATTTGACTAATTCTAACCTCATTTTGTGATTCAAAAAATATTTACAGTAGCTGGAGAAATGACTTAATGGTTAAGAGCATTGGCTGCTCTTCTCTTCTAGACGATCTAGGTTCAAGTCCCAGCACCTACATGATAGCTAACAGTAATCTAACTCCCATTCTAGGGAATCTAGTGCCACCTTCTGGCCTCAGAGGGTACTAGGCACTTGACGTGGTAAACAGACAAAAATACAGGCAAAAGCACCCAAATACATAACCTTTAAAAAATAGCACTCGGGGCTGGAGAGATGGCTCAGAGGTTAAGAGCATTGCCTGCTCTTCCAAAGGTCCTGAGTTCAATTCCCAGCAACCACATGGTTGCTAACAACCATCTGTAATAGGGTCTGGTGCCCTCTTCCGGCCTGCAGGCATACACACAGACAGAATATTGTATACATAATAAATAAATAAATGAA